ATTCTCTTAGCAAGAAAAAAAAATGGATTCTTTTCCCCTCCATTCTTACATTTTAATCAATGACATCAATGATGTCTGAGAAGCCTTAGTATATTATTAACTGCATTTTAAAAAGATACTTGACAAAACTTGAAAGTGAATGATCAATGCTGTCGTTTTTCTATCAGTTGTATTTTTTCTGTTTGAAAACATATGTTGTGGTTATCTGTCATTTTAGCACAAAAGCATGAATATAAAATGCCAAACCTACTTAGAATAGGAGTTATATATGTGTGTGTGTGTGTGTGTATATGAACATCAAAACGGTAATGAAGAGGAAGTTGTATGTTTCTGAGAAGCATTTGAACATGAGGTGAAAATAGCAAAGACAGGATAAATTAGAAGTTTGGGATGAACAGATAACACACACTACTGTCTATAAAATAGACAAACAACAAGGACCCACGGTATAGCACAGGGGACTATATTTAATATCTTGTACTAACCTATACTGGAAAAGAATCTGAAAAATAACATATATAATGTACACGTATAACTGAAACTCTTTGCTGTACATCTGAAACTAATACAACACTAACTCAGCAATACTTTCAATTAAAACAAAACAAAACAACAACGACAACAAAATAGCAGAGGAGCTGAACCTTGTGTCTCTGCCATTTGGCCTCGCTGCCACCCCCTTCTCAAGGGGCTTTCAGGCAAATATCTACCCAATCTTTTCTGTAAGAGAAAGTGGTCACGTAACCATCCCATAGTTCCTTCTTCAGTTTCCTAAATTTGCCCCTCTGCCTTGTGTCTTTCCCGCTGTCTTCCTGACAACAGCAGCACAGAATCAGCCTTCACAGCTCCCTCCCTCTTAGTAGTTTGCTTTCTCAGTAGAATTTCCCCTAGATTTGGAAAGAAAACCCTCTAATAGCTGTCTGCACTCCAGAAAGCTCAAACAAAAATGGTTGTTAGGGTAGACGAGCTGCACGTCTAATGCAGACTGCTTTGAGACCTTACAGCTTGGAGAAGGCTGAGCTTGCACGCATGGCTGGGATCCTAGTTGCAAAGAGGTAGGCCCGCAGCAGAGCTCAGCACTTCCTCCAAGGAAATCCTAAAATATACAGATTGTCTCTCCCGTTGACTGTAAATTGGAACAACGGTCTTGGGAGAGCAATTTGGCAACATTTTATCAATTTTTAAAATGCGCATTCCCTTCCACTCAGGGATTCTGCTTAGAGGCATTTATGCCTAAGTATCCGAAGATGCATGTCCAAAGAGATTCAAAGCTGTGGTTTATGAAGGTAAAAGCACGAATGCAATCTATATATGTCTATTACTAGAGGATGATTAAAAAATCATGGTCCACCCACACAATGAAATGGTAGGCAACAATTTTTGTGCTCTCAAGCAAAGATGCCTCAGTGGTGAAGACAAGGACTTGCTTGGTGAGGCTTTAGTGTTCCCTACTTTCCAGCACCCTCTTTTCTTTGATATCAACAATTGGCATTCCACTTTATATAAAGCGTATTACACCAGAGCTTCAGGACCCCTTCCCAACCAGATTGCCTTCGTCAAGTCCCTCCTGTATCAACAATATGGAGCTATCACTAGAGCAGTTACAGTTTTCTCAAAAAGTAAAATAGTATGGTAATACTTAGACACAAGACGGAATCCACGCACACACACGTGTCTTCAAGGATATCCCTGAAACGGGAGTTATCTCTGGATAGAAGGGCTGGAGATGGGGGTGGAGAAGAGACTTGACACTTTTGGTCTGTTTTTACTGCTTTGTTATGAGCACATACTACTTTTATATTTAAAAAAATGAATTTTAAACCGAGAACTCTACATAAACAAGTGCCTAAAATGGAAAGTTAGTAAAGGCCACTGAAAGGGGGTGGTTACTGCAATCCTTTGGGTACAGGCACTTTAACAAGGCCCTGCAAAACCATGCAGGCCCCGTGTTCTCTGTGGTGGTCCCTGGCCACGCACAGCAGACACTTGTCTCTTTTGCCTATCCCTGTATCCCTCGTGAAGACACAGTCCCCTGGAGTCCTGTGGCCACCTGATTCGTCAGGACCATGAAGGTTGTGCCTTGAGTCTGGCAGGGGTGGCAGAGCTCACCTCCTCTGAGACGCCTTCTAGGATTCTTGTAGCCCTCATTGGTCTCTGCCTTCTTTTCACTCCCATTACAAAAAAAAAAATTTAATTGGTTTAGTGCCTATCTACCTTTTATTTATATTAATCGTATTCCTTTTCTCTCCGGGGAGCTGATGGTAGGAAGACGCCTTCAGCTCAACGACAGCCGCTCCGACCACAGTGCCCCCTTGGCTACCCCGCAGACCTGCTGGTGAGGAGGACAGGTTTTGCTCCTCCACCAGGACTGCAGGTATAGGGTTTCCTGTTGCAGTAAAGGGGAGAAGTTCACACACTGTGCCAAATTGCGGATAATGGGACATTCTTGGACAGTAGCTGCGACTCTCCTGGGAGATTCCTGCCTCAGGACAAAGTCCCCACTTCTTAGCAGGAAGCATAAGGCTCAGTATGCGTTCTCACTCTGCCAAAACGCACACGCACACGCACACGCACACACTCAGGATCCCCATCTGCGGTCAATTTCTGGGACACACCCATACTCTAGCTTCACCAAGTTATTTGTCTTCCTGGAATACACAGTGTGTTTTTCTACCACAATACTAATTTATACCAACTGTGGTTCAGTGGTATCCAGAATGCAATTAACCCACATTCGTTTTCTCCTTCCTTTGCATTTTGACTCAATGATGCTTAACTCTAAATAGCTTCTCCCTTAGAAGGAGAAAAAAAAAAGACTCCAACAAGACAGCTGGAGGATGGGCAAACCCCAACCACGTCTCACAATCCTGTGGGTTTGTAATGTTCCGTGTCATTGCCCACTGCATTCTCACTGGGGTGTGCTCCACGTGAGTCACTGTACAAGGCCCAGCCTCAGTTGTAAACAAAAATGAGTGTTTGCCTTCCTTACATATATGGAAAAGAATCGTTAGGCTTGCAGAAAAAAGATAGTTGCGGTTCAGTGTTTAATTTTTGGTTTTGCTGGTGGAAGATGAAGTTTATTTTGCTTTCTCCAATGTTTACTTGTGTCTTGCTATTCAGGCATGCAATTTTCTGAAGTTTTGTCCTTACGGCCTAATTGGGAATTCTCCTATGGTGTTCAAACGATCTCTGCTATTAACTCTTGATTTACTGATTGGTTTTTGGGCACAAAGAGTTAAAAAGCTGCAGAGGTAAACGGCTACAGACTAATGTATACAGCTCCCGAGTAAGGAAATAGACCAGTTCCATTCAAGAGAGCATGTGCCTAAGGTATGTGAAGTTCTCTACTTAGTGAACATCAGGAAATGGTACCAACAGCTGTCTGGCTGGCATGCTGCGATCCGGCTACTTGCTGTACATCACCCTGGCTTCGCTCTGGCACATCATCAGCTTTGAAAGGCGCAAAACTGTTTTCAGCTCAATTGCAAATTTAGATAGGAAATAACCTATTTGGCATGAAAGATGTTGGGCACTCAGTGTGGTTTTCCGACTACCTGAATTTAATTTGAGACCCTCTGAATATTTTTTACCTGCCACTCTGCTGAGACGAGAGCTTGACGGTCAACTCAAGGGAATGCCTGGGATGGGGAAGACTCATTAATCATCTACGATGCATTGTCCTTCAAGCACAGAGCATGGTGGCTTCTTTTTTAAAAACTGGAGGAACACATTGAGGTCCCTTACTGGAAGAGGTCAGGTGGCATCTTCACTGAGTACAACTTGGAATGGAAGGATACTTTCTTCTTTTATGTGCATGAGCATACATGACTTATCTGAGCATACATGACTTATCTGATAACCAGGGACTTGTGCCTTTCAGTCAGAAGTTAGTAGTTCCCAACTGGAGTCCATGAACCCCTTTTCCTCCTGTCATATCTTTTTGGAATCATAAAGAAGGCTAAACCTAAGGCAAGGTGAGAATACTCCAATTCAATAGCAGTCAAAGAAATTAAAAAAAAAAGGATGAGAATCCATGTTTTTGTCATCAAATTGGCAAAGACTTTAAAAAAAATTACATAACACTCATCAGTCAAAGGGTACAGTCATATATGAGAATGGGAGGATAATGATGTAAAATGTTAACCATTTTTCTGAAGGGGAATCTGGCATAGCAAAATATATGCATATCTTTGATCAGAAAATATGCCTTCTAAGATATATTTTGGATACGATTAAGGATATGAGCAAAGACTTAGTGACAAAGATACTAACTGCAGTGTGGTTTCTAACACAGGAAAACTTGAAATGACTAAAGTGTTTACCAACTGGACATTAGTTAAATAAACTATGGTATAATCATATAAAGAAATGATCTATAGTCATTTAAAACACTGTTGAAAAGATTACTGATGCAGAAAGATGTTCACAGTATTGTGTTGTTAGAAAAGCAGGTAAAAAATTAGCACACTTTGTATATTCCAACTTCATTATGAAAAGTATTTACACAACACATGTGTATAAAGATAGGTACCAAAAAATTAACCGCACTTATTTCTGGGTGGTGAAATTTAAGGTTGTTTAAATTTTTTTCTAATTATCTGCATTTTCAAAATTTTTTATAATTTATGTGTATATATTTACATTAGTGAAACATAAAAACTAATTCTAACTTAAATAAACCAATATGAATATGCATGAAGAAGCTAAGTTATTTGTGGCAATGACAGCAAGTCTAGGAGCCTGTGAATCTACGATTGATGGAGACTGTGTGTTGCCTACTCCAATATCCACTTCACCCCTTTCCCTTAGTCTTAGCTCCCCAATTTTCAGCTGGGCACATCGCTTAAGTAAAAGACGTTATTTCCCAGCCTCCCTTGCAGGGAAGGTGGTCAAGACTAGATTCAGACCACTGAGATGTAAATGGAAGTGCTATGTGGGGACTTTAAGAACCCCCACTGAAGGGCATGGGTTTACTTTATTCCTCCCTTTTCCCTTCTCAGACAGATGTACTGGCTGCCCCACAGGTCTGTGACATGGAAGCTGTGTGTGGAGGACGGCAGAAGACAGAGGTAGAGGGTAGGTTCCTTGGGATGGACAGAGACCCCATGTCAGCTTTGGACTGTTTGCCTTCACACTGTTTCATATTATAGAAACATTCATTTCTGTTTCTTTTAAACTGCTGTGATTTGGGGGTGTTCAGCTATTTGTAGCCATGGACTTAGTGTGTTTGTGGTTGTTTCTAACTGATCAGAACCCTTTAGTGAAGGGCTTCTTAGAATCGGTTGTCCAGAAAAAGAAAAGATTCGGAGCATCATAAAAAAACCCATACTTTCACATGTATCTACACTAGCATATTGAATTTCTGAAATGTCTAGATGACTTTCTCATTAGTGATTTCTCTTTTTTGGATGGAGCAGACAAGCCCATCTAGACACGATCTTAAATGTTGATCCAGCCAATATGGAGGCAGCAGCTGCCAAATGGAATTCTTAATGGTATAAAATTAAAACTTTAAATGGATGTTAGTCGTGATGAAAATAATGCCATTTTTACACCTGTGCAAATGTGCCTTATTAAAGTATAGAGGCTTTGAATGATTACATTTAGGAAAAAGGAGCCTATTACTAAAGGCAAGTTCATCATCCGGGATGTAGTGTTACAGGAATTTTTACCAAATGAGTATTTCTGTGAACTAACTCATGGCTCTGAGAGAAAAATTGTATCGAACTCTGATTACATGGATTCTTTAGCATTCAGTCATATGGCTACAAAAGTTAAGAGGAGCAGTCAAGTTTGTATCATGAATGGACTGCATGAAACATTTTACTCTCTTTTGGGGACATGCAACTAATTTTCTCAGATTTCATCGTTAGACGGCTAGTTTAGAGAGTAGTGTGACTGCGTGCTTCAAAGATTTAAATCTTGATGATGACGAAAAGTTTATTTTGTTAGCACTGCTTCTGTAAGAAAACACTTGGGCATTTCAAAATGACATTTAAAATGACGTGACAATACAGGCAACTAAAAACCACAACATTAATTTCTTCCACCCCCCAACTGAAGACATTATTAGAAATGACAGTGGCCAGAGTAAAAAAAAAAAAAAAAAAAAAAGGGAAAAACATCTATTTACAGAGAGACATCCCCTTTTTCTTTATTTTAGCTTTCCCTTTATCAATGCAAATGGTCTTGTTTTCATCTCTGTAGGATTCTTTCCTCCCTGCATTCCACAAGCCCAGAGAAACTCGCTGGAACTCTTACAAAACCCTTTCTTGCTACCATATTAGGAATCAAAATGTGTAGCAGAAACCCACTGCCAAGTCGAGATAATCAACGGGGAATGTCTGTGCCTTCAAGCCAAATGAGTGCAGAAAAATGATCAAGGCGGCAAAATGAATAATAAAACTGAGGACTGGCTTTAGATGATGATCTTTAGATTACACCCCACTCACTAGTGCAGCTGGGCTGGGAATGCCTGTACCTCTTGGCCACTCAGGTACCAGAGGCTAGTTGGGTCTAATTTTACTGTGGAGATAATTCTCTCTTAGTCACAAGTGGAGCCAAGGGAAATAATATATCTCTGCCTTATTACCTACATTAAAAATTGTTATAGTCGCCAGCCTCACAAATCTTCTACCTCCTAACCCCAAACTGATTCTGCGATACTTCAAGTATTAGATTTTCTTTTTTCCAACTTTTGCAAAGGGTCTGGAAGTATCTGGAAGTTACCAGAAAACCTGCTGGCTATTTTCACTCCAGGTGAAACTGGTTATAAGATTAGTTACATTTGCTTAATTTATGCACAGCCCTTGATCCAGCACGTATTTGACTAGAAATACATTTTTAATTAATACATGTGACAAAATGAATAGATGATTCAAACCACAACACAGTGGTTCTGGAATCCTCACAAGGGGTGCGATGGGGATTATATGGTGAAGGCTGAGCAATTACCTAGTGAATTAAACAGACTATTGTGGAACTAGCTGCCTGCTTTATTAAGACAGTAATGATAACACCTGAGAATGTAATGCGGTCACGATGAATAATTTGACCTTGCAGCTGCGTTTCGTAAGTCTTAAAGGAGTCAGAGGTAAGAAATGAGGAGATTGGAGAACAGAAGGTTTCATAAATCAAGAACAACAGATGAC